GGTTGTGGGGCTTGAACTCTGGGGCTGGGCGCTGTCCCTCAGCTCTTCAGCTCAAGGCCAAGCACTCTACCACTTGAGCTACAGCGCCACTTCCAGTTTTCTGTTGGTTTACTGGACATAGGAGTCTCACAGTCTTTCCTGCCCAGGCTGGCTTTGAACCGCGATCCTCAGGTCTCAGCCTCCTGAGTAGCTAGAATTACAGGCATGAGCCACCGGTGCCCGCTTTCTGCACTGTCTTTTAAAGGCTTTATTATTTTGTATTTATTTTAAAACTGATCACTTCGCATTTATTTTCATCTTCATAATTATATGTAACTGACCATGTTTATTGAAGAAAATCCATTTTCACTGCTTGTATTTTGTTTCATTGTTCTATCCTTGGACAATACTAAATTTTCTTTCTTCTTCTTCTTTTTTTGGCAGCATTCAGGTTTGAACTCAGGACCTCACACTTGCTAATCAGGCATTTGAACCACACCTTTACCTTACTTTATAAGGTTTTCAACTTAATTTCCTTTCTTGTTTGTCTTAACTATTTTGGGGCCTTTGAATGTCTGTATAAAAAGTTGTAGAATTTTCTCTCAACCCTCCCCCCAATTTTGTCCCTTCTTCTCTTTTTCTCCTACACACATATGTTCACTCATGAACATACTGGGAAGAATTGATGCATCCTTTGAAAGAGATCTTATATGTTTCTCACTAGATTTATTTCTAAGATATTTGGTATGGAAATATATAGGTATAATTAGTTGGGCTGTCCCATAATCAACCTGTTCTTTTTGGTTTTTGGAATTAGTTGTTATTAGTATCAAAATCCATTTTAACTTAGTTCAGAGTAGTAGTCTATGTAGAAGATCTCTAGAGATTAAGAATTTAAAAACTGTAGTAATTAACTGTAGTAGTATAGCATGATTTTATAGTAAGACAGGTTTAATACTTAATATTTGGATTTTGAAACATGAAGTGTTTATAGTGTTTAACTGTAAAATGCTAAGACACATCATTACTGAGCAGTATAATACTTCTTGGTTAATTGAAATGTATAGTTTACATGTGTGATTGTAACTTAAAAATTATATATATATATATATATATATCACCATGATTTTACATATTTAACATAGAGGAAATGAATGTAAGAGTACATATAGGGGTGGACAATAGTGTTAAGACATGAGAAAGTATACTATTATATAATTATAGATAAATATATTCAAATTTGTGACTATCCATTGAGTGAAGAGAGTATCTACTTGTGACTTTGCGCTAATCAGCATTTCTGTGCCTTGGTTTCTTCATCTGTAGAGGTCAGATAATAATACCCACCTTTAGAGAGGACTTGACTAGTTTCTTAGCTCTTATGTGCTTAGTAAGCATTATTATCATTATTTTTCTGAGTAAATTTAAACACCAAGAGTGTATGCATTCACTGTCAATATTGTGTATTAGATATGTAAACAGCCTGCATTCCTAGAGCTTGCAGTCTCATTTGTATATTTATAATTGTAGGTAATAAATAATATTTATGATGAGTAAATGAGTATAGCCTTCATGCTTTCACCAGAAACTCTAGTCATTAGTATAACTCTACCTGCTAATTATCTGCAATGATGATATTGCTTCATTTGATTAATTCCCATGAGAGCAGATTCCCTGAGGGGAAGTTAGCATGATGGCTTTATGGGTTGTGAAACTTTTCACTTGTTCTGCTGATCATTGAGTTCTTTCTGGTGCTGGGATGACCTGGGAGTTGAGATACAAGTTTAAGTTCTAGTTTTGCTACTGATTTTATACATACTTTCAGCAAGTTTTATTAACTTTGTCTGAAATTAAAGAGTTTATATTGAAAGAATTGTAAGGTTTCTTCTAAATCTCATTTTGCTATTCATAAGCTTCTCCAAATTGTTTTAAGGAAAAGAATCCATTGCAGAAATTTACCTAGTTTTTGTGCATGTATGTGTGTATAATCATAGGATTTTGAACTTGGGGTTTTGCTCTTAAACAAGTGCTCATTTAAGCTGACTTCAAGCCCTTTGTTAGTTATTTTTCAGATAGGGTCTTAAATTATTTCTTTTACTCATGTTTTTGTTTTTTTATTAGCTTATATCTGTTATGTTGGGGGGGGGGGAATCATTGTTATATCTCCACACATTTACACTGTGTTCCAAACAATTTCATCCTCTCAACATGCACTTAGGATTTTTGCTTGGAACTGTCCTTAACCTTGATCCTCTTTACCTATGCCTCAGTTATACCTGGGAGGTACAGCTAGAACCTTGGACCTAGGACCATCATACCTAGCTTATTCATTGAGATAAGAGTTTGCTCACTTTTTGTCTGTGCTAGCTTGAACCTTGAATGTCCTAATTTCTGCCTCTTGTAAAGCTGGGTTTATATGTGTGCTCCTGGCTGTTTTGTGTTCTCTCTCTCTCTCTCTCTCTCTCTCTCTCTCTTTCTCTCTCTCTCTCTCTCTCTCTCTTTCTCTTTCTTTGACAAACTTTTGCTTGGTGTGTTCTAAGCTTGACTCAAACTTGTAATTCTCCTTTTACCTCATGCTGGGGTTACAGGTGTGTAATCCAAATGCTGAAATTTAAATGTTGAGCTCATATTCCATATTTGGTTTTGCCTGTAGATGCCAGAAGTGGGTAGAGAATTGTAGAAGAGCAGATTTGGAAGACAAAACACCTGATCAGCTGAATAAACATTATCGACTATGTGCCAAACACTTTGAGACCTCCATGATCTGTAGAACTGTAAGTAATAGGACTCAACTTTTCTCCCTCCCTCTCTCTGGTTGGAAATGCATATTTTAATCTATTAATTGAAGGTGTACCTATGTCCTGACACTCTAAAATGAAGATAAATTTGAAACTGAGTATTTACTTTTATTTTGTTCTTTATTTTGTTTTAACCTCCTATTCTTGATATCCCATTCCCACTCAGAGATAACCATTTTTGAACTGACAAAAAATTCTAGTGATTATAACAGTGTAAGTTTAAGTTAATGTCTTATGTTTTTATTTAGAGCAGTTTATCTAGAGGTTTTTTTTTTTTTATGAATCATGTCTTCATTTAGGAATAATACTCTTTGCCATTTTATAGATTTAGTGTTAGAACCCTTACTTTTGTGTGCTACATACAGGAAGAAACAAAATCATACAGATAATGTGAAAACACATTTCCATCAGTAATTTTTTTTTTTTGGTCGGTCGTAGGGCTTGAACTCTGGGCCTGGGCATTGTCCCTCAGCTCTTCAGCTCAAGGTGAGTGCTCTACCACTTGAGCCACAGCACCACTTCTGGTCTTCATATGGTTAATTGGAGAATAAGAGTCTCATGGACTTTCCTGCTCAGGCTGGCTTTGAAGCTCAGTCCTCACATCTCAGCCTCCTGAGTAGCTAGGATTACAGGCATGAGCCACTGGCGCCCAGCTCCATCACTAATTTTT